AAGAAGTGAGAGACACAATATAACTTATTTTCTACTTAGAATTAGTGGAGACATTCTTATTTCCTGTCCCAGAATCCCAAGGCTGTTAGTCTCACCCCAACAATAACAGGAAAGGTAGTGAAGCATCTTCTCTATCCTAATGCTATTGCCAAAATAAGGGTTATTGAGCTGTTTCCTTCCATGTGTTCCCAATTGAATCTGAAGACAATATAGTACATCAGCCATTTTTAAGGTAAAAGGATGGTTTTTTCTTGGGATACGATATTTCCTATGGGCTTTCCTGAGTTACATTCCTGTTGAGAGAGACTTTCTGTTTCTTTGGCACTGGTTAATTTTCCCATAATACTTTTAACTTTTATTTTCTCCTGTTTCCCATTTAAAAGAAAAACACACTGGTAAAGACCTGAAAATGAATTATGGGCAATAAACACACATCTCTGTTAAGAACACAGTGAGTCAGACCTTTGTAGCCTCTGGGGAGGTGAAAAGCTGGTTGTCATAAGAGAAGTTAAATCTCAACAAGCCACACGGATCAGTGATGACCTGGATATATTGTGTGTGCTGTTCAGTTAAAGGAGCAAGCCTATTGATTTCCAGCCTGCTCAGATTTGTGTACTGCAGTACCATGGAAGAGACACAGTTTCCCTCTTTTACCAGCTGGAGGTGTGTGAGAGTTGTCTTAATTCCACACACACCTACTTTCCAAATCCCCCTGTACCTGAACACGAAGCCTGTTAAAATAATATGCAGCACATCATTAGCTCCTGAGGGCTGACCTGATTGATTTATGTAGCTGCTATTTTCTGTTTCATTTTTGGGCTTGTCTGTTAATAGCAGAACTAGGCTGGTGGGTGTTTCTGTGTGTTCCTTAGCTCTTGTTCTTCTTCACCAACAGACTTTTGCTATGGCTGAGGAGTATCACCGAGAATCAATGCTGGTTGAATGGGAACAGGTGAAACAAAGGATTCTTCATTCTCTGCTTGCATCAGGGGAAGATGCTCTCGATTTCACCCAGGAAAATGAGGTAACTGTGTCCTTCTAAACACTGCACAGCCGTGCACGGCATCGTACACAGCTGGCACTCCAGCACTGCTGAAACCACCTCTGGGTTTTATTCTGCAGCTACAGCTGGGTGAAAATGAGAACTATCAAATCTCTAGGTTGATTCCAGAATGACAGTGACTAGCAGAATGCACTGTCTAGCAAAATATCAAACGTTTGTGATTGTCTCTACTGACTGATGGGTGCAGGCAATGGAGCTCCTATTGCTGAAGCTGTGTTTTAAGCAACATATTTGGAAGCTGGAAATTGTCACACAGGCACATATTAGGTCAGTATACCCAGGGGACAGAAAACACATCAGGGAGCTTCACCCTCAGGAAACCTTTGCACTGCTAGTGAGAGCAGTTTCTCAGGTGCAGTTGTGCTTACACATAGGTCTTAGAGTGCTCTCTTTCCCTTATCACTGTGTGCTAGCCAGGATTTCTGGCTTTTCTTAGGAGGCTGATGAAGTCTCACAGGTTTTTTTGGCAAAACCAAACTAATAATCGAAAAAAAAAAAAGCTTTCCTTTTTATCTTGCTGTCTCATGCAGAGCGGATTAGAATTTTGTGCTGCTAAGACCTTTAGTGTTCATCAGTTCAAGTTTAATCCAGTAGTTACCAAATCCTTTGGGCAAGACTAACCCCATGTTTTACATGAGGAGGTATTGACTAGCATCTTAAAACATTCCTTATCTTCTGTAACAACTTCAAACTTTACAGTTTGTTCTCGTAAGGAAAATGCTCCAGTTCAGTGGTGGATGGAGTAAAGCAGAGTTATGTGCAGAGCTGTGGGAACTTCCCCTCCCTGATCTGGAAGCATCAGGCAGCAGCTGCAATCCCTGGAGCACAAAGTTACATCACAGCCCCTGCACAGAGCTCCATGGAAATGCTCACCTTGACAGCAGAGGTGATAAAGAATGGGGGGAATACAAGTTGCTGTGCTTTCAGGCCAGAAAACAGACCCATTTTTTTATAGCTATGTTCTGCACCCATGAAAATGAATTCTTGTTCATTGCAATGACTTACAGACCTGCAAGTGTATTAAAATAAAAAAAGCCCTTGGTGCTAATGGGGTATGACCTGTATAGGGATTTGGAAATAATTAGTTGTTAATGGAATGTCCCTTTCTGATTACTGTTCTTTTAAATATAGGTTAATCCCAGTTAGCATACATCTTTTTATAGAGGCTGTCTTCCCCAGAAAGTATTTTACTCATACTTTACTGTGACTTCTCAAAGGTTGTCCAGCTTTCCAATATTAGCAATGCTAAATAATGCAGACTGAATTAATTTAAACCCAGGAACAGACCATGTTATTTTGGGCTGTGAGTCTGAAAACTTGGCAGCTGCACTGATAGCTTCTAACATCTTTGCTTATAACCCACTCTGAACAGGTGAAGCACCTTTTCTGGTGTTTCAGTGTCAAAGGGATGCTGCCTCTAGTCCATGGCACTCGAGATGCCAAGCATCAAATTGGTGGAAGGGAGGAGGGGAAAAAACCCACCTCCTAATGTTTTTCATGACTGAGTTTAAAGACTCAATGTGCACCATCACTCAGTAATACTCCACTCTCCCTTTCAAAGCACTCATAGTATCAGTATATCATTTCAAGAGCATTTAAAATCCTTGATATATTCTAGTCTTAGCCTCAAGGAGTCAAAGGTCTGAGAGGTTTTGAAGTGCATCTACTGTGTTAAAAGCCTGTTATCTAACCTCCCCACAGCAGGTTGTTCTTCTAAAGCCTTGTTCCAGTCAAATAAGTTTTTTGTGTGTGTGTGACACAAACAGACACAGCCTGTAGAATATAGTAGAGGTTTAATTGATATCCTCTGGAGATGGAGAATCAACTGAAAAGGCACAGATCCAAAGGCAGCAGGGGGCCGGTCTGCCTTCGAGCCAATTCTCAAGCTTTGGGCAAGCTAATTTGGGCAGAGTGAAATACCAACACATTATTCATGGAAATCAGACCAATTAAGGGGCAAAGCTCACAATTCAAAGGACTCAGCACAGGACTTGCCGTTAGGGCTTTCTCCCCCTTGTCCTCCAGCCTGGCCTTCTTCCCATCAGGGAAAACCAGAGTTGGTAAAAAGATGCTTCTTGGCAGAGGGGAAAGGGAGGAAAGCCTGAGTTTTGTTTTCAAGGTATCAAACACCTGTGCTCTCAAGGTGTTTGTTGTGAGTCTTGTGCCATTAGGTGCCAAGGCGTTTCTTTTGTCCTTTTATTTCAAGTTTTAATTTCTTCCACGCTTGCCCCAAGCTCTTCCACTCCTGCTGTCAAGCACCACACTGGTGCAGTAACAAAGAGACACTGGTGCTCTTGTTTTCTCTTCTGCCCCTCTGTACCATGTCTTCATCTCCCTTAAATCCCAAGGACTGCAAGATGCTTTCTGCTCCACCACAGTGTATTTTGATGGGGCTTCTCCAGCTCAGTCTCCTGCCTAGTTATTCCCTGCATCTACTGGCCAAGCCATTTGGAGTGCTGACAAAATGTCTGCCCAGACTTCTGCTGAGGAATGTGCATATGCATATGAGGGTGATGAATAATGCATCTTTGCATGCACGAGGTTTGGTGTGCAAGTGAGGCTGAATGCTTGGCTGAGTACAAATGAAGGAGGACTCCTTTGAAAACCAGCATCGTTAGGCTAAGTGAATTTAAAAGATAAAAATGTGATGGCAGTGCAGCATAGCTCCAGCTTTCAGAAATGGATAATAGTCAGAATAAATATTAAGGTTCTGAAGAATGTTTTGGAAAGACCTAAATTCAAGGCAGGGAAAAGCAAAGGTGTTTGAGAAAAACAGCACAAGCCATTTAAGGAATATCAGGCTAGAGATGCAGGAAGGTATATGTGTGTGTGCACTTGTGCTTCCACAGTCCTTTGTGCATTCCTCACTTTTCTGTTTTTCCTTTTGCTGCTCCACTTAAACTTGAAAACCTGACCTGAAGCACGATTCTTCTCGTGTGCTCCCAGCTGCTGATTTCAGCACATCTTTGTTATCTTTTCCTTGTTTGAACACTTGGTTAGTTCTGACTGGCCAGCAAGAGATGTTCTCTTCCTTCCCCACATCCCCCCCTTAGTATGTAGGGGATGCCTCTTACATCCTTCTGCAGAAATATTGCCTGCACACCTCTCCATTTCTGCAGTTTAGCAGGAAGAGTGGAACTGGCCTTCCCTGTGCTGACTCATTGCTTCAATTTTCCTTTTGAACTTTCCTTTTAGCACAGCTGTGAGACAGTTCAGTGAGCAAGTGCTTTGTTAAAGTTTAATAATTCAAAGATTAAGCCAGAATGCATGATGGAAAAAAAAAAAAAGGAAATAAGCTTCCTTACTTTTCCATATGAAAGAAAAACATAAGAAAAGCAGGACAAATTCTGGAGTTCATGAATTATTTTTTTTTTCTGAAGTGCCAAGTCAGTAGTGGGCATTTAAAGAATTTAATTTCAGTGTGGCAGTTCTCAGCTGTGGGAGATTGTCAGTAAGTGATCCTCAAAGCATAACGGTTAGGGTAAAATTAAAATTGGGGGAAGGAAAGGAAAACACAAATCCCAGAGAAGTTATTTCTAAGTTTCAGGCATGCACTTCTGAATTCCGAGGCTTACCTGTGGGTTTTAACCCGGCAGTCACACCCCACTCCCTGGAGTGGCAGCCACGTGGGTGCTCTTTGGTGCAGGAAAAGGAACCAGATTCATAAAACAAAGCCCCAGTCCTTACATGCCTGGTGCTTGGGCACGGGTTGGGAAGTGACACTAAGTCACTCTGTACTATTCTTCACTTGCTTCAGGAGATGAAACCTCATCAGTAATTAATGGCAGTGTCCATAATTTAGCGTTACTTTAAATAACTCTGCATTTTCTCTGGCACGGCGGAGGGGAAGGCAAAGTGCTGTTCCTGCCATGCCGTCTGTTTCCCAGGAAACCTGCTTTAACAGCTTCTTTGTTCTAAAGAACAAAGAGTTTGTCGGGTTTTAGGTGGGTTTAAAGGAATTTGTGTCAGATCATTTGGCACCGAAAGAAAAATGCAAACGCTTCTGAATATTGGTATATCCGTTAAGAGGGACAGTGAAGAATATTTTTGGTGTAAGTTCAGTTGCAAAAAGAAAGTGGGATTTCTTTGGGGTTTTTTTGTAAGGTGTTTTTATACAGCCTATGGTATAAATGCACCTCCCTGATTTTGTAATCAGGTTGGACATTATTTAAATAGCATTATTAGTGAGAAATTAATGCAGTAATAAACTAATTCCAGCAATTTTAAAGGATTGTTCAGGTTTATCTTTGGTACCTTCATTCATTTATAATTCATTATATTAGGGACAAACACAGCTGAGTAGTTTTTACCCTGTAATCAATTGTTGTATGCTGCACAGAAAGCAGTAATCAGAGATAGCACAAAGCTCTTACAATTTCTTGGTAGAGGTTGGTGTCCTTGTCTTCATGTATAAATTCCTAGCTAATTCAGAACACCTTCTTGGCATTGCAGTTGTGTCACTTTGTTTCTAAATTTTAAATTGTGAAAACTTCCCTGATCTAAACTCATGGACTAGGACAGTGGGGAGCCACTGTCTTTGCAAGAACACATTTAGTGTCTTGGCTCATGAGTGTAAAGGAGCAGTAGGAGGTATTCTGGGTTAAACTGATATAAAAAATGAAATTAATTTGGGAATGACTGAGAGAGTGTTCAGTGCAAAACTGATCAGTAACATGTCTGGAAGTTCATATGTTTGTATTATTTAATTTTCAAGTTGGGATACAGTTCCCAAAAAAGTGAGATTCTTTTGAAGACCCTGCCAGCATTTCATCCTCATTTGAAACAAGAAGCTGAATGATGGCACCATCTGGAGAAATGCTACCCATTTCTGGATCTCTTCCTGAAACCCACACGAGCCAGGTCATGGCAGGAACATTGCTCCTGCCATGCTGCAGCCTGACAGGTGTCAGCAAAGCTGAACTCTGCAGCTGATTAAGCTGGAAGTGAAAATGATGATTTTTTTTTTTCCCTTGCATTTGGGCTTTCTGTTGTTTGTACAGGTAGCAAGTTGGCCACATTTAAGTGACCTCTTCCAGGAAGACTAGAGCGTGTCCTTAAGCAATACCAGGAGTTGATCCTGCCTGCACAATAAAGTACTGACGTTCTGGGTGGCTGATGTGAGAAGAAGTAAAGCTGTTTGACAGTTTTTGCTAAAGTGCAATGTAACAGCTAATGAGGATGTGCAACAAGTTGTAACTGACTTTGGTAAAAAGCTTAATTTTAAAATTCTGCAGGTGTACCTGCTCTTTCTTGGAAAAAGTTACTGATTCCAGTTTAGATGAATATTGATGAGCCAGAGTTATACAGTAACAAGCCTGAAAACCTGCTTGCTCTTCTGAAAGCTTGTCTGTTCCTTCTTTCCTTGCCCCAACTATGTCAGTTGGCTTCGTAATAAATATTATGCTTCTGTACTGAGCTTGTCTTGCTTTTATCTTCAGGCCAGCATGGCTTATGAAGCAACTGATATTAAAGGACTGCTTGCCTCAAAGGGATCTGTCTTTAAAATGATTGCACTTTATGTTTCAAACCCAAGACTTGCAAAGCTGATGCTGAAATGGAAGAGTTACATTTTTTTTAGGAAGCAAGAAATATCAGACAGTATTGCATAGTTAATTGGGAGTATTCTTTCCTGCAGAGTGGTGAACATCCATGTTCAGTGGTGGCTGTACTGAGAACATACCAGTGCTTTGTAATGAAAACATACAGGAATAGCTTTATGCAGAATTGGGCTATTATGGTATGTTGTATTTTGAGTTTTATAAGAGTATGAATTTTCCATGCTGTGACTCCATCAGCTGCCTCTCCCTGCTCTACACTCAAAATATCTCAACCCTGGCATAGTCTCTGTGGGTAAAAAGACAGTTTTTTCAGGTCAGGATATTGCCAGCATACTTCTTCCTGCAGCAGACCAGCAGTGGGGCAGCTTTCAGCACATAATTGAATGCTGCAGTCCTGTTTTGTGTCTGTGTCATGGTACTGGGACAAAACTGGAGTGTCAGATCTGCTAGACTGGATCCATCTGAGCTGGTCCATTGAATTCCATGTCCTTGCTGTGACAGAGGTTTGGACAAGATGCTTCACAGCAAGACATCGACGTGACAAGAAGCAACCTTTTCAGAAACAAAACCAAAGAGTTAAAATTATAAGATGCTACCAAGAGACACTGATGTCCTAATTCTAGAGAGCTGATGGTTGGCTTGTGCATGAGTAAGGAGGATTTCTATCACTTTAGAAAGTTTAAGCTATATTGGGAAGGTACCAGGGTATTGCAGTGAGGCTGCATTTTTCTCTAGTTCTGTCAGGAACACAGTTTTGCTCTTGTTCTTTGGGAGCAGATGTATTGGTAAAATGCATTGTGGTAATTCTGCACTTTATGCCTTCCTATTTACTTGTCATTGAACAGCCCAGCTATGTTGGTGAGGTGGGTCCTCCGGGTCGCAGCTCTTTGGACAGCGTGGAGATGGCATATGCTCGTCAGGTGAGTGGAAATGGCAAAACACAGTTAAACATTGTGTTCTACAGAGAGAGGGGCAGGGGAAATGAAGATGTGAGCAGTGTGTAAGAAGGCATGGTAAGTAAAACATTAAAATATCTGCCTAGAGATAAAATGCAATTGGCAGATACGTAAACGTCGCACGATGTTTTAGGAACGTACTCACCTGTTTGCCTTAGGATTTTTTTTGTCAAAAAGAGATCCTAAACACCGTATATGATGTATGAATGTAGAAAGCATTTATGCTTATAAAGTAAACTGAAATTCTTTCAACTTTTCAAAAGCGGTATTTTTTTAGGATTTGTGTCAATGTATAATTGTATGCAAATGAAGGTTTTATACTCCCTTTATTCTCACGTGTGGAAGATCACTGTTCTCATGTGTATGTGTGTAGAAAAAAACCTGCTGAAGTCTTAATCCTGATGTTTGTCGAATTGTATCCTATTTTAATGGCATTGCTTACGAGAGGCTTTAGTGCATCAGCTATGAATTAATATGCCTGGTAGCATTAGACTCCCTCGGAAAATTTCCATGGAAAACTGATAAACCTTTCTTTACATAACCAATTTATTACTTTTGTTGTTTGAGATTATCTGTTTACCAGCACTGTTGGGAACAAAATGAAAGAAAGGGACTTGATTTTTTCAAAATGGAATATGCGAAACGGCACAGACAAAGCGTTGCCTAATTTGCACACAATCACTGTTATTGTGTGTGTTGGCTCAGTCTGTGCTGAGGCAGAGAGAGCAGCTCCTGCATCTGTTTTCTTCATCTGCATTCAGTTATAGTGACTGGGAAGAAACAAACTACAGAAGGTGCGCAATTGTGCTGATAAAAGTGTACGTTTGATTTGGTGGCTGTTAAATAGTTGGTTAATTTAGTTCATATCTGCTGTGATATACCTGCAGTGAGGGTCTTCCTTGCAGCACAACTATGCCTGTACTTTGAGGCTGTCAGTGTCGTTCTCTGCTGGTTTTTGAACACGGGGAGACCAACCTGTCTTGCTGTGCTGGCTCTGGGGTGGCTGTGGAGCCACCCTGGCAGGTGGCCCTTGGCAGGTTATGGGCTGTGCACAGGCTGCTGCTGTGTGCCCTGGAAACGAGGTGTTTGTGGCCAGGCTTCTGCTACCAGAACACTTGGTGCAGTCACTGAATGCTCCTGGCAAGCCCTCTGGAGAAGTTGGCCTGGCTAAGCTCTCCTCAACGTCAGCCTGCTGGAGTGCAAGAATACCTGGGTGTCAGCAGCCTCTGTGGGGCTCCTGCGCTTTCAGTGGGGAGTTAGGAGACCTGGAGATCAGGCAGTTCATGCTGCTTTGGTTTATCAGCAGCCATGAAACGTGTTTTGATTACACTGATGTGATTAATTGTTCTTCACGGACAGTTGGAAGGTTTCACAGGAACACGGTGACGTCCCTGGCTGTGATTGCACTGATGCTGCATTCTGGTTGCAGTCCTGAGCTCTGCATCCTGTTTGCACGCTGGGCATGCTGAAGTAGTGCACGACAAAGGGAGTTAAAGTACAATGGCACTGTCTTTCTAGCACTGAGAATGATAATTTTCAGACATAGTGGACAGGCTTTAGGCTGAGAGTAGAATAAACAAGAATAGATGAAGCTAAATTAAATCAAGAGTTAAAACGGGGGGGATGTGTGTGTGTGTATATGTTTAAGGGTAGGTTTTGAAGGGCCAGGTTTCTGTTCATTTCCCTGTCTCAGATTTCCCTGAATACTGCCACAAACCAGCAAAATCCCCTTTCTTTTATGTCAGCAGGTAGGAGGCTGCCCCTTACAGGGGAATATCACAGCCATCTAGTTGTCAGGTCGCTTCTGAATCTTGGTCCTTGAACAATTGGCTGCAATTAGTCTAACAGGGCATCCAGCTCGCAGTGCTTTGCCATGCAGAACCCCTGAGCAGCTGGGCAGCTGCCTGCCCTCAGGCAGGCCTGGGGCTCTGGGGTGCTGTGGCAGCTCGGGTGAGGCTGAGGCGGGTTCCTCCACTGCTGGGTTAGAACCAGTTAATGTGGGAGAGAAGCAGAGGGACAGCCTGGTTCAGATTTTGCTGCTGTGGCTGGGAAGGGGATGGAGCATAACACGTGTTGTTAAACATGCTTACTTTAATTATGTTTTAGATTTATATTTATAATGAGAAGATTGTGAATGGACATCTGCAGCCTAACCTGGTGGACCTTTGTGCTGCTACTGCAGGACTGGATGATAAGGTACTGCCAGTGAGTTAACATAAGGAAATGCCTTTAATCTGTTTTCAGCTGTGATTAACAACAGCCTGCTGACATCAGGGGAAAAATACTGATATTGCCAAAAAAAAATTGCGTGGCTCCACAGAAAACACAGAGCCAGTGCTGGAATTTTCTCCAGTGCAGCAGGACCCACCTGTGATGAAGCTGGTCATGGTGAAAATTTCTTAACACAGTGAGGAAGAAATGACTCTGGTGTCCCATCATAAGTGATAAGCTGTTGGAGGAAAAAATTGCTTTTAATGTTAAATAGATTCTGTTGGTTTGGTTTTCCAAATGTGGTCTCTCAATGTCGTTTGAAGGTATTTAGTTGTAGGTGAAGGGTTTTCAATCAGGCTGTGGTAGAGCTGAAATAGGCTCCCATAGCAAAGCATGGGATTGACTTTAAACCAATGATTTGCCTACTTTTTTTTTTTTTTCCTGTAATGGTGTTGCCTTGATCCACCCCAAACCCAAAACAAATGCACAAACTTGGCCACCTTCGAGAAATGCCTGGAGGAGAATCCTGCAGGAGGGTCCAGCCATGGAAAACCTGTGCAAATGGGGAGAGCAAGAAGCTGTTCAGAAAATGCCTCAGTCGGATCTGAATTGCAGATGTGCATCTTTGCTCTGAACAGCTCTGTTTGTTTTCAAGGGACAACACAGTGAATTTCGGTGTTCTTGCTGCTTTGAAGCAGGAGGATCAAAGAGCTGCCCTTGCCCAAGTGAACAGAGCTGTTAGTTCTCAGTCTTCTGCCGTTTCAGCAGGGACTCCCCAGTCCTGCAGACACTGATATGATCTCGTCCTTGTGAATAAGCAGACCTGGGTGGTTTTCAACCTTTATTTATAACTGAGCCTTTGTCCAAGTGATCAGTGTCCTTTTGATGATTCTTATCACAGCTGATCATACAGCTTTCCAAAGGCAGCCAGAGCCATTGCTTACAAGGAAAGCTGATGGTGCTGTGGGATTTATTGAGTGGAAAGTGTGAACTGAAAATGGGCAAGAGGCCAAGCACCAAGTACCCAGCCTAGTTTTGGAAATAATGGTCAATCCTAGGTGACAATTGCCAGTACAATGTTTATAGCCATCTTCTTGGACAAGAATTATGCAGAAAAGCCTGTGAAATTTGAATTCTGCAGGACAGAATAAGCTTACCTTCATGACTGCATCCAGTATCTCCAGTACAACTCTCAGATTACATTACTCTTGTGTTTTTATGCTTTCCTTAAGCATCAGAACTCCATGTAGCTCAAAACAGTGTTGATTGTTCATTCTGTACTAATTGCTGAGGTGTGGAATGACTTCTTTATAGAACATCTCCGAGATGTGGGCCATGGTGAAACAAATGACTGATGTTACCCTGGTTCCTGCCAGTGATGCCTTGAAGGTCCGGACCAACATGGAGGTGCGGATGGAATTTGTGAGGCACGCTCTGCACTACCTGGAGCAGAGGTAAGGGGAATGCTCTGGGGGGCACAGTTTAATAAAGTTCCCTAATAACAAGCCAGAATGACTTTGTGATGTGCATGTTAAGAAGTCAGCTACCTTGTGCTGCTCACAGCAGTGTCTGCTGCCTGTCTTTTTTATTGTGCAGGGCTTAGAGCAGCCACTTGAACATAAAGCTGTTTTAGTTTAAGAGTGATCTAGTTAAATAGGCCTTGAATCCATGGGGAGGTTGTTTAGAAGATGCAAAGCCTTTTTATTCTTTCTTCTATGTTGCTTATAAATATTCCATATCTGCACAGTGATATGTGAAAATCTGTCACTTGTGGAAAGGGATCCATTTCCCTTCTGCAAAACAAAATTCTGTTCTGTGTGTTCACTTTGTGATTGCTGATGACTGTCAGCAGCTCATGAGGACAGCACTGGGGTCAGCCCAGTGCAATGAGTCAGGTTCTGATTGTGCCATTTCTACACTGAAAAGTTTTTGGAAAATGTGAAGAGGCTGAAGCTGAGACGTGTAGCAGTGATTTTTCAAGCTGTAGGAAGCAGTTTGCTGTGTGTGTCACCAAGTACCATGAGGGCCTAATTTCCTTGACCGAGAAAGTGCTTGGAGGATTGCAGGCTGTGGGGCTGCCCAAAGCCAGCTCCCTGGGTGGCAGCATTACCCATCCCCTGCACGTGTGCATGGTGCAGGGTCTCTGGTAGCTGGGATGTGGTGCCAGCAGGCTCGTTCAGCCCATGCAGCAGTGGCTGCAGCGTAGGACGTGGGCACTCGTTAGGGACACAGGTCTGCCATTGGAGCACGGACAGTGCTGTGCTCTCATACAGCACTCTGGGAAGAGATGCTCTCACCTCCTGGCACAGGCTCTCCTTGGCCCTGACAGTTGTTTGTCACACCTCATCAGTGCTCCTGTCACCCAGAGGTGATGGTAGAGTGCCCGCCTGTGCACAGAGGAGCTGACAGAGCTGGAGGATCTCCTGTTCCCAGTTCTTTGGTCTCAGCAGGGTGCAATCAGCCAGTGACTCTTATCCTGATTTGCCAAAGATCCAGCTTGCTAAATTTTCACAGTGCCATTAACTGCTAACTGAAAGAGTTATATACAGTTCACCCCCAACCCTTCCAGCTGTGGAGATTGTGCCTCTCAGGCTTGACACACGACCCTGTGCCTAGCTTTGGAGTTTTCCTTTCCTAGAGGGAATTGTCTAATACTGAACTGTTTCCATGCCTCACCAGTACACTTGTACACAGAGGAGATGTAATGCCACTCACAGCTGTTCTTGCATTAGTTGCTTTGGAACAACTGTGATCTTGAGCCCTCAGGAGCGTGCTCTTGACTCAGCCATAATTCTAGTTATCAAGATACTCTGATATTTGCCTGTGTTTAGCATAGCCTTTCAGTTTTATAGCCTGATGGTGCATGAGTCTACTGTGTGCAGCAGAGAAAGAAAGAACTTCATGGCATTTATTGCTGCTGTATAGGTCTTCCATTAGGGTACAGATTTTTGAGACTCCTACTTCTAAACATGAGTATTTGTTGAATTGATCTGCCTTGATCAAATGCTTTGATGGGTTATTTTAAAAGATGTTCTTAACGTTGCTTTTACCAGTTGTATTTCTCTGAATTCCCTTTTTCTCTGGGATTTCCTTCTGGCAAGTCCATAGCCCAAAGGATGGTATTTTTTCATGGGGCAGGGAAGAGAGACAAACACATCTATGGTGTTTAACTGTTCCTTAGTGATAGGGCTGAGAGTTAAAGCATTAGGCTGGAAAGGCTTTTTGCCAATTGCACAATTGAGCTTAACTTAGTACTATGAAAACCTAATAAGAGGAACTTCATAATAGAGAGTTGAACCTGGAGCAGTCCACAGCCTCCAAGCATGGTGTCTCTTGAGACTGCTGAATACAGGGATCTTCCTAAAGTGACAGCAATGTTTGCCTCATTCTGTCGTGATGATAATGTTGGAACATCAAGGTAATTTGCTTTAAATTGCTAATTCTGTCAGATCTGCAAGGCACTGAATGTTTTTGTAGCAGCTGTATTTCTGTCTGTTCATGTTTGGTTTTGCTTGTGTTGTTTTTCAGTTACAAAAATTACACCTTTGTGACAGTCTTTGGAAACTTGCACCAGGCTCAGCTGGGTGGAGTCCCAGGGACTTACCAACTGGTCCGCAGCTTCCTGAACATCAAACTCCCAGCATCTGTCCCTGGGCTCCAGGTTTGTCCCTCACCCTCAGCCACTGAGCTAAAATGATAACAACAATCTGATTGCTCCAGTACAGATGGGAAACTAGTGCAGCCTCCAGTGGCTTTTCTGTTGTTTAAGCTGCTTTTGGTGTAGCAGGCTCTTATTCCTTCTCTGGAATTTTTCTTTAGGAAAATGGAAGATAGTAGCCAAAATCACTCTGAACCCAGAGCTGGTCACAAAACATGGTGCTCAGTAGTTTGAGTTCTGAATTCTAGAAATCATGATCTCTTTGGGTGGTCATCTTAGAGATCAACCAAGGAGTATTAAAATACACTATGATGTTTCAAAAAAGCAGTAACTTAATCTCCCTTTTTGCTTTTTCTCTTTTTTTATACTTGTTGTAAGATGATGACACCAGTTTTTGATAACTAAATGTGTAATGAATTCATCTGAGTTGTAGCCTAAGCCTTTTATTTAGGAATCTGAATAAAACTCTGCTTACCTGCATATAGTAGAAAGTGCATAGCTGTGCATCTACAAAATTAGCAGATAGGCAGGCTGGGTTGAAAAATTAAATTTAAAAGTTAAATGAAGAAATGATAAATTCTAACATTGGAGAGCACACAGCTAAGTCTGCTGTCTTTTTCTTGCCTGCTGAGATCTGTGATTAGCTTGGTATCTTTGTTTCAGTAAAGATGTTTTAAATTTTAAAGTTCTTGTTTTAATGTATCAAGTATAATACAAATCTACCTCCCGGGTGGGGAGAATATCGTTTGCAAGTTTTGGGATTGTCAGAACCCCACTCAGAACTGAAATCTAGGCAAGCAAAGAAGAGTCACACTCTTCACTGCTAAGATGTACAGAGCTTTCACAGGACTTAACCATTATAACCTCTGGCTTCTGTAACACAGACAGAATTTTCTACCAAAATTAGAGTGTGGGTATAAGGGCAGAAATAATGAACGAGGCAAAGAATAATTTAAAAAATGAAGTATTTCCTGCTTTCTTTTCAGGATGGTGAGGTGGAGGGGCATCCTGTGTGGGCACTGATTTACTACTGCATGCGCTGTGGGGATCTGACTGCAGCCATGCACGTGGTGAAACGGGCACAGCACCAGCTGGGAGAGTTTAAAACCTGGTTCCAGGAGTACATGCACAGTAAAGACAGAAGGTAATTGGGAACTGGGAACGAGGAAAGATCTTTGTGAGGGGTGGGAATTGCTGTGGAGTGGTCAATTAACCAGTGGCTCGGTGGGAATGCAAGAAGCTCAGGTCTCTTCTGGTGGTGTTGGCTGCCTGGTGTTTGTTTATATCACCTACCTAAATTACATACAAGAAGTCTGCATATTTTAATTTGTGGCTTTGAAGTCTAAAAATCTCAATAGAGAAAGAGTTGTTTGAAAAATATGGAAAAATTTACATTTCAGAAATAATACAGTGTGGTGCAGCTTTGCCTTTTTACAGGAGGATATGCCCTGTGTAACAGTGGGGTACCACATACAATAGATCAGATTTAATCTGCTGTCACGAATCCTGTCTCTTTTTATTTCCCCTGTTGCTTATTTTAGCTGAATTTCCTTTGGGGAACACTTTTTACTACACCTGTTTTCATAGGAGTGCCATGCAGGAAAAGCAGGCGGTGTTTGTCAGGCCTTTAGAGGCACTCACAGTCACCTCTTTCTGTGCTTATTCTCCTTTTCCACTTTTTGCTGTTCGTCACGGGGCAGAGGCCACTGGCCAAGCTGCTTCTGGTGTGGTTGCAAACAGTTGCAAGCTAACAAAACAAACTGAAAGAAAAAAAAGTCCAAGTGCCATTTACCAAGTAGTGTATGCCATGTCATTCTTCTATAAATTAGCCTGTTTTGTAGAGTATCTAGGAGTGCTCATTATATCAAGATTGTTCCAGAAACTTTAGGGAAGGTATTGTCATTGTCTTCATTATAAGCACTTTAATGAGATACAGTATAATTGATTTATTTTGTTTTTATTACAGCTATGGAAAGGTGCTCTGCCCACAGATTTGACAGGCAATGTCTTTGTCTAAAACACTTCACTGGTTCAATTCTGTAAAATTCTCTACAAGAGGGTACCAGAAAAAGAATGACAAAGAACATTATGACAGTAGTTAATAACAAGGATGAAAGTATCTCTCCTAAAAGATTTCATGGTACAGTGACCTGCTCACTTGTTAGTTATTAACCCAAAGAGTTCCAAAGACTTTGTGAGCTCTCTTTTTCTGAAATTATGAAATAGCAGAGTCAGACAAAAATAGCTCATCTACCACAGTATTAATGTTCCCCTAAAGACACTGTCATATGGTTACTTTGTTTTTCCTGCAATGGATATTTGAAGACGATCCTCCATAACTTAAATTATGTGTTTAAATTCATGTGTGCAAAGTTTTGACCTACAGGTATAAATAGAAAGTGCAACAAATACCAGCCAGTGCTTACTGTTGTTATACCTTTGCTGTGAATACACACCTATTTACAGTTATTTATATCTAGGTTGCCTTATGCAGGGAAAATGGGTTTCATGTCTTTTCCTTCAATCTTTTCTTTTCCTCAGACTGTCTCCTGCCACAGAAAACAAACTGCGCCTTCATTACAGACGAGCTCTGAGAAACAACACTGACCCCTACAAGAGGGCTGTTTATTGTATCATTGGCCGTTGTGACATTACAGACAACCAGAGTGAAATTGCTGATAAAACAGAAGATTATCTGTGGCTAAAAGTGAGTGTGATACTGGGGTTGTGGTGGTGCTGGTGTTTGGATTTATTTATTTTTTTTTTTAAGAACAGTTCTAAATGGTACTGCATTTCTGCACTGCTCTGCTACCCACTTCTAGGGTAGGGAAAACCTGCTTCTTGGGGTTTTGCATCAGTGTGATGTATGTGATTTGATCTTGAAGAGAGTGATGGCCTGGAAACCTGAGTTCCAGGGCTGCTCTGTTGCCCTCTGTACTATCAGGTGTTAGTTTGGGTACACTTGTCTTTGGAAGTGCCATGTTCTTCATTTGACACTGATCTTTGTCAGCTGTTTTCACAAGTAATGTTAGCTTGCTACAGTGAGGATTCTTTGAGTTCTCCTTCCTGGATGGATTGTGTCTGAAATGTCGGTGTCAGTTGACCAAAGACAATGCTGCCAATGTCTCTGTAGTCTGAAGTCCTTACAGCTTTGATGGGGGCATGACAGATACTGGTCAGCACCTTTATCAGAAAGAGGGGGTAGAATAGTGTATTTGTTAAAATAATATTGTATTTGTGGCTAAGGAGTGCTGCTTTTAATTATTGCTTAGAGAGTATTCAGAGTCCCAGCACTGAAGTTTGATGGCATGGACAGATACAGAACCCCCTGGTTATATCTGCATGGATTTCTGGTGCTGCTGCATTAGGAATCTTTGCTTCCCAGCAGTGGACGTTGTGACTAGAAGTAGTTTCTAGGCAGTTGGTCAAATCCTAGGAGGGGCTTCAGATGGAATGAATATCTTCTAAATGCATTCCTTGTGCAGGGGGAAATAACTGTGCTTCTTTTTTTGGGTGTGTTTTTTAGCTGAACCAAGTGTGTTTTGATGATGGTGGTGCGAGCTCCCCACAGGACCGACTGACGTTATCACAGTTCCAGAAGCAGCTGCTGGAAGACTATGGTGAGAAACCACAGAGAAATGTGTTACTGGGGGCTTCTGCTTTTCTGCTTAGGACACTTTCCAATTGTTGTTACACAAACCCCAGACTCCACTACTGACAGGCATCTTCAGGGTGTCCATGGACAGCCCGCTTCCCTGGAATAATGGCAGACTTCAGCAAGACATGATGAATAAGTCTGAAGTGCTCCCAGCAATCCAGAGAGTAAATATTCATCTGTGAACAATGCTGCTGCTGTTTCTCCTTAATCCGTACTTAATTGCAGGTTGCTTTCTTTCACCATAAATGTGCCAAAGTCTTTAGCAGAACTTCCAGCTTCTGGAATACAGAACAGAAAAGCAATCACTACCTAATGTAGGCATGTCTTTCCAAGCCTTTTCTCTGTATGCATCTGATGTTCATTGTTTCCCTTAAATTAATATTTCAGGTAATTTTCTGGGTATCCAGGTCACAGTACCTTAGACCTCAGAAAGTTCTTAGACCATCCACAGCTCAAGGAGTACCTTTTCCTCTAATCATCTTCCAGTCACTCAAAATTAAGTCACTCAGACTATCCAAAACACACAGAATTTGATTCTCCCCAGCCTTCTAGTTTGTAGTATCACTAACACTCACACAAAATTGTGTGGAAAAGAAATACAGTAAGCTACTGTTGGTGTCACTGAGTAGGAAAATCCAGGTTTTTAACGTTATTTGTACCACTTAGCAGAAGTATAAACAAAGACAAAAAGTTGTGATCTTTAGAGAATCTGTTGGGGTCTGTCAGAGTTGATGGTTTGTTGTCTGAAAAGACACTGATCTTTCCTGATAAATTTGCAATGGAGCAGTTGTAGATGAGCCACTGATTAGGAATTCAGTTTTGTGTACTGTGTCTATTTTGGTTGGCACCGGGTGAACAGCCGTGATGCACTGTGACAGGAGGCATCCGCTGTCAGTCACCTCTGATGGCACAACCATGGAAACGATGTGAAAACGCTCCGTGTTTTGTTCTTTTCCAGGTGAATCACATTTTGCAGTGAACCAGCCGCCTTTCCTCTACTTCCAGGTGTTGTTCTTGACAGCACAGTTTGAAGCTGCAATCGCGTTTCTCTTCCGGACAGAGCGCTTGCGCTGTCACGCTGTTCATGTTGCTTTGGTCCTGTTCGAGTTAAAACTGCTCCTCAAATCTTCTGGCCAGAGTGCACAGCTGTGTAAGTCCTCTTTACTTCCCAATAAAGGAATGTTTTGTGAGCCCCCAGAGTACCCTGTAGACACTGCAGGTCTGTGTGATTGATCAGTCAAGGAGCGTTTATCGGAACAATCTCATCAGAGTTAATTGGTTTAGTTCCTTTCGAGCTCTGGATCGTGGTTCTGACCGATTTCAGATGAAGATCAGTTTTCCTGGCATTCCATTCTGTGACAGTGTTGTTTCTGACCTTGCAGTAAGCCATGAAGTTGGGGACCCTCCTGGTGTCAGACGGCTCAATTTTGCGCGGCTTTTGATGCTTTACACCCGTAAGTTTGAATCAACAGACCCGAGGGAAGCTCTGCAGTATTTTTACTTTCTCAGGTAGGAGCTAATATATGTCTCTAGATTTTCTCCTAGTTATTACTACTTCATTTTTCTTATCTGGAAAGTTCTCAGAAACAGCAGTGCCTTCCTCCTTCTCTTTCTTTTGTAGAAATGAGAAGGACAGCCAAGGAGAGAACATGTTCCTGCGTTGCGTTAGTGAAATAGTAATTGAAAGCAGAGAGGTACGTGTGGCCATGCTTTGCCTTCCTCAGTTAAACTGAAAGTCGTTTCTTCATTAAAGTATTTATTAGACAGGACAGCCTTAAGAGTTGTTTACCCTTTCTGCCTGAGGCAGATGGAGATGTTGGAGGGTCTTGCAGTGACCATACGTTTAACACAGTTGATCGTGTCTTTTTGCCTGTTATTTAGTTACAAATGCTTTTGACAATGGTCACTGTTTTTTGTTCATCCATGACTTCCTCTTTGTATTTAGCAAATATGTTGTGAAATACATGCAATTCATCTCTCTGTTTTTGTTTCCTTTTTTCTTTACATCTGTGTGGATATAGTTTGATATGATTCTTGGAAAGCTGGAAAAAGATGGTAGTAGGAAGGTGAGTTAACAATTTATGTTTATATTTTACATAAAAAGCACAAAGCATGTGTGATTTCCAAAGCAGTCACAAATGGGGGACAGTTATTTCTGACAGGATTTTCTTTTAGATGTCTTTGTTTTGTCAGTTCAAAAGCAGTGAGGTAACTTGATAATCTTTACAAATATTTTACACTTTGGTGTGAAACCAGCAATCTTAAGTTTAAAATAAATTGTTTTAGATGATCGTCTTAGTTTTGCATGCTCAACTACAGTAAAATCATTTCCAGATATTCTTGACTCTTCCCTCTCTTTTATTCTACAGGTTTATTATTTGTTTTAAAATTCTTATTGCCCTTGCTTTTAACTGTGTAAGGTTTCACTTGCAGCCTGTCATGGCAGTATAAACAAACAGCCTCCCTGGAGCCCCTGGCATGTTATATGCTGAGATCTTTTGTGTTTTCTTCTCCCCTGGAATGTGTCATCAGCAATTAACAGCTCAAACTCTGAATTATTTTATCTGGGTCATTTTGAGTGAAATAAAAACCAAGGATGTCTCAGTGCTGACTCTGTTTTGGAGAAAGTATCTCTTGCAAGAGCTCATTCTAATTTTAATGTCTCACTTTTGCACTTTCCCATGGAAATGTACAGGCCATTCTAATCATAAGCCAACACATAAAATATTCATTGCCTTGACAGAATATTCAGAAGTATTTAAACATCCTGATTTCTCTTTTCTCTCCTTTTATTTCTGTCTCACTTCTTTAGCCTGGAGTGATAGACAAGTTTACAAGTGACACAAAATCCGTTATTAACAAAGTGGCTTCTGCAGCAGAAAATAAAGGATTGTTTGAAGAAGCTGCGAAACTCTATGACCTTGCAAAGGTAAATATCTCCTGTGTGCTGCCTTAACTGTGTACCTGCTTCACCGTTTTTCTTTCCAAACATTCTCTGTGATTAGGAGGTTAAATTTCATCTCAGAGATTGAATTGCCCTTATTCAAGCAGCTTATTTCTGCTGCTGTTAGAGCAGAGCCATTGGCTGCATAGAGAGGGGGTTTAGTGAGCAAACCCAGATGGATTGCACTCCAGGGATTCTGATTCAGGACATTCTGGTTCTTGATCAATGTAATCTTTTGAAGTGATTGCCTCCTGCATGATTTTATTCTGTCTAGCGAAGTTATTTACCTGGAGTATACTCTTCCAATTTCATGGATGTTGAACTGAAGTCTAAAATAGTTAAGCTTTATAGTGAGTACTCGTGTTTCCTTTTGAAATACATTTGAAATAAAAGTGGATTCAACCATAGACACTATTTTAGAGAAAAACTAGGGGAAAATACTTTTTCACATGAGCCAGCAGCATTATGTTGCTTGTAGCTTATATGGTCTTGACTCTGTGGGAGGGAAGTGTCCCTGAGCTTGCACTGAGCACCTACTGCATGAGACTCTTCTGCTTTTTCAATGAGATTAAAACACCAAGTCCCATCGTGCTCCTTTTATTTGTGTGTCACTTCAATACCTACAGAACCCTGACAAAGTTTTAGAGCTGATGAACAAGCTCCTCAGCCCAGTTGTTCCCCAGATCAGCACTCCCCAGTCGAACAAGGAGCGGCTGAAGAACATGGCCCATTCCATTGCTGAGAGGTGAGACTGGGTGAGGCAGGACTGGGTGACTCACCTGCACCTGGCCCAGGGCTGTCAGTGTGTGGGGGGGTTAGTTCTGGTGTTGTTTCTGCAGGCTGGGCTGTGGCATCCACAGCAATGTACTTAGAAAGACAGAGAAGAGGTCAGAATTGACCCTGTCCTGCTCGGGATGGCTTGCAGTACTGAAACCAGAAAAGAAACTTTCTGGGGCAGGTCAGGTAAATTTGGCAAGAAGCTTTATCTGTAGGTGAGTCAGGATTGCCAGCTGGAGACAGGGTCTGTTAAGGACCAATAAATATAATGAACTCTTTGTTTTATATTATTTTTAAAGCAAAATATCATTGCAGTTGCAGAGTCATTGCACACAATTCACTTGCTTGAAATAGTATTAAGAGAGAGCTACAAAAGCAGTAATTCTGAGTTGTAACAACAGTGCAGCGAGTTCAGCAGCTGTCTGAAAACCTTATTTCACTGCTGCTTTAATTAAAGCTAAAAAGGGAACGTTTAAGCTGAGGTGTGTACATGGCTAATGTAAGCAGTGGACCTCATTGCCACAGCCTGTTAGATTATCCAAGTGCTCAGAAAAGGGAGAGAAATGGAAATGACCAAAAGGAATATCCCCTGCAATGTCTATATTAGGGGACATAGACATATGCTAATTAGGATACACTATGCTAATTAGGATACATGTTTGAGAGACATCAGTGCTCAAGATTCATTAGCAGCTGGAAGTTAGGAATAGCCTGATTCTGAAAGGCTGTAATTGCAAAATAACACTGTGATTTTTTTTTTTTAAATCGTCCTCTTTTGGTGTGTCTTGTCACAGTGGCTGCCATGGAAAATTCCTGTATTTTACTAGAGCAAAATGTGGGTACCTGTGAGAAATGTCTCACTGGTTTTCCTCAACCCTTCAGCTGCAGAGAGAATAAAAATAAGCCAACCCCACTTGCTGGCATTTGAAATTGGAAGACAAATACAGACATGCATTGATTTCCATCAGAGACCTTTCCCTTTCTTGTTTTGACAAGTGCCATTTGCCAGTTACTCCTTCTAGACAACCTTTCCCTCATTTAGCCAGACTGAGACTGAGTGAAAATTGGTGCTCTATTGACTTAGTGAGAGACTGATTTGGTGGCAGACATTAAAGGGAATTAAACCTATGGCTTGAGTTAAAGCTTCAGCAAAGGCTGTAATGGGCTTTGGTTTGCTACTTGCTTTGATCTGTTTGAAAGCACTAAATATTACTGTGCAGTAATGCCACCCACAGCTGCAAACCTCAGTGACTTAAAGCCAGAACAGTTCTGATTAGAGCATCTTCTTGCCAGTTAAATGTAAGAGAGGGCTTTTCCTCATGGACCCTTCTGCAGACAGGGCTGCAGTGGTGCAACATTCCTCCTGTGCCTTCTTAGGATGCTTTTGGAACAGGGGAGACACCCAGCAGGAAAGGCCAAGAGGTTATTTGGCTTCCTCCTCTGCAGCACCACTGTTAAACCTTAAGGAGCTCCTCTGTGACCTGGTGCAGGCAGCAGTGAGAGCAGGCAGCCCTCCAGCTCATCCCCTAGCCAGGGGAGCTGGAGACAGCGTGCAGGAGCATTTAATCCATCTTTAGGTCTTAACTTCCTGCCTGAAGCAGGGAGTTGTGCTGGAGGATTGTCTGCTGTAAAACAGCATGTTAAATATGCTTGTACAGAGCTTGCCTTGCAGGTCTCTGCTGCCTGGCACTGTTTCCCCGTGAATGTGGGACGTGTAAACATGTAAAAGGAAACAAATGTTGGATTTGATGCAAAAGGGGAAGGGATTAAAAGTATTTTTAAAAAGCCACAACCTGTGAAAATTCTGCCTCCTGGTTAAGGAAAATGAAAGCTGTCCTTTGTTCAGTGCCTTCTGTCCTTGTGCTTGATGTCTCCGCTTCCAAGAATTGCAAGAGCACAGTTATAAACAGTTGCCATTTTGCACAATAAAACTGTAAAACAATTTCTTTCAGGTACAAAGCGCAGGGGATAAGTGCAAAGAAATCCATCGACTCCACGTTCTACCTTCTGCTAGACTTAATCACATTTTTTGATGAATATCACGCTGGTCACGTTGACAGGGCCTTTGATGTAAGTTGCAAGAGTTCTGTTTGAAGTGTAGCCTTCCTAATGCCCTTGAAAGCCCAGAATGTCTCAAATAACATCACTTAAAAAAATTATATTTAATGAGTTAGAAGGGGTTGCAACGCCATAGGAATTTAAAAAGGTGTTTCTTCCCTGTTGCTTGATAAACAGGAAGATCTTTCTGGGGCTGTTTTATAGGCATTGAACAAAATATTCTTGCTGCTCAACAAAGGAGATAAACCAATAACTAACAATGAAATTATTTCTCTTGAATGAAACCAGGACGATTTCATTAACGCTTCAAAACCACACTTTATTAGTATATGGTACATAGAACACTGATTATCTACCCTGGTTCCTGCTTTTCTTTTTGAAGATTATTGAACGCCTGAAGCTCGTACCTCTTAGCCAAGATTGCGTCAAGGAGAGAGTTGCTGCCTTCCGGAATTTCAGCGATGAAGTAAGTTCTGTCTTGGGCTTTAGCTTTCAAAAGCCTTCTGCTTTGTTAAAAGGATCCTAAAGCCTTGTCATCTCATCATCCTTATTCTTCAGCGGGGAAATAGGATGAGATTATTCTGAATTCGTACAAGTAGATTCTTGGCTTACAGCTTTTTCTCTTCTGTGCTGCTCTTTCAAGTGCTAGAATTCCCTGCCCAGAAATCCTCTCTCCATTTTGAAGAAGGCATCTGCCTGAGTCTCCCTGAACTTACTGAGTTTGATCCAAGAATTCAAAATATTGGAAACTTTTAACTTGCTGGTGACTTAGTTCTCCCACACTGGTAATGGTCACCAAGCATTTGCAGGGTGTTTGTTTAGTTCCCTCTAAATCAGAGGAACTCTGGATTTGCATATTAGCAGATGAAGCACAGTGGAAGGCTGTTGCTGCTCTTGAACTGTTTAAAGTGGAGGATGACACTTCTCTTTTAGGCAGTGTTTTTGTGCATTTGGGTGCTTTAGAGTTCTTTGTATTCGGGCACTTTGGGTTTTGTCTGACCTGCTGCTGTCAAACATGAAGGTGCAGCCATTATGCATGTCTGTCTGAAAGCTCTGGGCAGTGTTTGTGCTGGATGGTGCAATCACAGCAGGGTAACCATTACAGGTATGACTGTTACAGGAGTAAATATCAGCCATAGTTGTCATTGTTTGACTTTCTGATTCTGCATAGCAAGGGTAATGGTTCTGTCAACATGCTCTTCACTGCAATGTGTCTTTTTTTTCCCCCTTCTTTGTGTAGATCAAGCACAACTTATCTGAGGTCCTGCTTGCAACCATGAATATTTTATTCACCAAGTATAAGAGGATGAAAGGCACAAGCCCAACCACTCCTGCCAGACCTCAGAGGGTAATGGAGGACAGAGATTCGGTAAGAATGTAATCCTCACTGTCTGAGGAGTTTTCCTACATCCTGTTCCCCTGCTTTTAAGAGACTGGGCTTTGCATAACTGTGAATCTCTAATGGTCTTTGCTTTTGACTTGCTCAGTTACTTAGAGTCTCAGACTACTGAGCTTGCTCAGTTACTTTATCTCAAGGCTGGTCTCTGATACCTTTGGCTTTGTGTAGGGAGAGGATGGAACTGGATGACCTGTAAGGTCCCTTTCAGGCCAAACCATTTGGAGTCTATGATACTGCTCTAAATGGCACTGAGCTAATGGAGATATTACCCCTATATTTTCACTAGCAAGAAAAAGCAAATTGCTTCTTGGTGGGATCTTAAATAGTAAAACAGATGAGGACAGTGCAGTGTCTCTGGGTTGGTTGGTGTTGCTGCTGTGACAACTGAGCTGTTGCTTTCAAGCACCTGATTTCCACTCCCTTCATTTGAGTAGGTGCCCATTTCTGGTGGAAGGGCCTTCCTTGACTCCTCTCCTTGGCCTGCTTCTGTAGTGACATGGACTGATGTTTTCCAAATGTCCTTGGGGGATGCACCAAGATCTCCATGGTGAATGGCAGCAGTTTGCCAGCGTTGTGCTGCTGCCTCTGCAGCAGAGTGGGCAGCAGTGCTTGTCTGGGGAAATGGATGGCAACAGTGGGTTTGACTTCAGAGCTCCAGCTGGTGCAGAAGCGTTTCTCCAGCCCACTGACAGGAGCCTCCACCTCTGCAAGGTGCAGAACAGGCATCATTCAAAGGGCACAGCCAGATTTGTGGGCACTCGCCTGTCAACATGCAGGGTTGAACAGAGAGGTTCTCAACTGTTATTGGGTTTGGTCTTGTAACTCTTACTAAGCTAAAGCTGCTGCAGGCACTTGGAAACCAAGGCCAAACCATTCATCCTGTCTTAACAGATTAGAAAATAAGTATCAACTACTTTTGAGAGTGAAAACCAACTTGGGGCACAGCCAGCTTTATTCCAGGCTTTAGTCAGCTGCAAAAGTGCCTTTGATCTGTAAATTGCAATATTGCTAAGGCCTTAGTAGCATTTTTAAATTACATAAGAAAATGAAAGGTGTGAGTAATGATATATCTTTGGTTTTGGGGTGCAGCCTGTGTGTGAGAGCTACAGGATCCTGCCTTACAGCAGTGCTTGTACTGCAGATTGGCAGCACTGCAGAGGGATGCCTGCTGCTTGGGCTTCTCCCACCTTAAACTCTACACATGTGAAGTCCCAGGCTAAGGCAATGTGTTACCTGCTCTGTGTCTTCACAAGGTTGGCACTGAGCAACCAGTTCCTTGCTTTCCAAGTGAGCTGTTTGTTTTGGGTTTGATTTCAGTCTTGTGCCTCATGCAGAAGCATTTACCATCTCTGTAGGGGTGCAGTGCTGTCAGGTGTCACCTCAGTATGAGCATTGTTGGCCGACTGGGGATGGGTTTAGCAGCTCTGCTGGCAGAGGTTTGTGTGGAAGGAGCCACTTTGACATCGTGTTGTATCAACAGCGGGTGAGCACTGCTTCACAAGCATGCTCTGCACTCATCTGTGGAGATCAGCTGATGATGTACCTTGCTAAAAACCCTTGGAAGTTTTCTTTTTTTCAGGCTTCAGGTTTTGTTAATCAACCTTCTGGCCTTGTGGTGGGATCCCCTGGCAGCAGGGTGTGAGTGATGGTGGGGACAGGGGAGTTCTGAGTCCCAGCTCTCTGTGTGCAGTACAAGCTGTGCTCAGCCATCAGAGGGGACAAGTGCCCACTGCCTCTGCTGTCAGGAAGGGGATAAGAGAACAGCTGTGTGACTGCAGTGTCACAGGGGAGCATAATCTGCTAATGTAGGATTAGCAGGAGAAAAAAACCTCTCACCCTGTAGCTCCCGTCTGCCTAAAGATTTGCATGTGCAGAAAAATACCAGGCATGGGCACGTGGAAGGCAGGGTAAGAACAGCTTTAGCTCATGTTCCCCTTTTCTTTTACCCTGAAGAATTTCCTCCAGGACTGCAGGAGCAGGGAATCTGGATTGCTTCAGTTCCCATGTCTGGGAAGCAGTTCAGGCGATTTTAGTGGTGGAAAGAAATGAGGGCATTCCAAACATGAGGAGGGAGGTGTTTCTTCAGCAAAATCTTGTTCACCTGAACAGAGATCACAGACACGAGCTTCAGCATGCTGTGCTTGACAAGAATTTGTCTTCTGAACTTCCCTGGAGGAAGGGCAGCTTTTCCATTTCCTCTGGGAAAGCAAATTTTAGGGGAAATTGGGCTCTTTCAGAAACTTGAACAATCTCACATTGCCCAGTACACAACACAAGGGAAAAATTACCTTTCCTTGAATAGGTCTTTGAAATTCCTGGCTTTTCTCTAGATCCATCTTCTGTTCATCAGAAGAAAACACGAGATGGTACCCATTTGTAACTCTGAGGCTTATTCCACATATTAGGGAATGGAGCTCCCCAGAATAGGAGCACACAGCTCTTGAATTTGCCCTCTGGTGCCAAGCACTGCTCTGCTCATCCTGCTGCAGTGAGTGGGGACTTTGGCAGGAGCAGTGTGGACCTGGCAGCAAGGGCAGAATGGGTAGAAGGAGTACTGGAGTACTGGAGCCCCCTGAACTCAGTAATGCTCTCTGTTAAACATCTCCTGTCACCGTTCAGAGGTGGAATGGACTTCAAGTGAAAGGATCACGTTTGAAGTCAGAGCTGGCATTTATGCATTTTGTTGATTTTGGGATGAAATCACCCAAGCTGTGTTTTAAATAATCTTTTTTTTTAAGTTTATACATTAATTAGTTTTGGGAACGAGGGAGCAAAGTGTTGTCCCACTTGGGCTGATCCATTTTGTCAGATTTTAGGCAGAGATTGCAGTGAGCCCAGCCTGCAGTGCTGGGAGCTGTGGCTGTGGTGATGGCCCTGACCCAGATGCTGTGAGTGCATGACAGCAATGGCATAAGCTCCCCACCCTGAGCCAGGGTGCTGAACTCTCTGGAGCAGCCCCAGGGCATTATCTTGGTGGCAAAATTAGGTCAGGAATGGAATGGAATTCTATTTTTTTATTATCTGTGCTCTTATTTAAAATTGCAAGTAACTCTAACATTCGTTAAGTAATTACAGCCAATAGAACATCTAGACCTCCAGGCCGCTCTTAACCTCTGCAAACCTCTGTTCATTCTTCCCAAAGTATTGTTTTGATTTTTAAAAACAGGCCAGCTGTCATTGCTACTGTAAAGGTAAAGGGAACAGTAACCTGCACTGCTCCTCACCCTTCTTAGTCACGGTGAGAGTCTTTGTTTCTTAATACTTTAATTCCAAAGAGTCAGACACCTTGACAGGCTTTTTTTTTTTTCATCTCCCACCTCTTTTGACCTCCTCTGAAAAGCAGCAACTCAGACATAGTGATACAACCCCACATTTGGAAGCAGACTGGGGGAAATACAACTGTGACTGGAACTGGAAGTCATTTCCAGGCCACCTCGTTAAGTAGCCAGTGCAGGGAGAGAAACTGTCCCAGGACATTTTAGCAATTGGGTCAGTCTTGGGAAAACCCTCACAGCTTGTCCAGTATCAGCCTCCAAAGCTTCTCTGTGGCCAGTGAATAACAGACTGGTTCTGAAAAAGGGATGGAATTGGCCAGAGGGGCATTGGGGATGGTGTGAGTTCCTGCTGTCAAAATTACCATCCATGTGCCCACAGCAACCTGAGCACCTTCAGGTTTCTCTGCAGTCAGTAGGGGAAAGGAGGGTTTGAACAGTGGATCTTATAGTACAGTAATTTTGAGATGCTTAATATTTAAGAAGAAAACCCTGTTAGTAATCAAAGCAGTCTAAATAGTTTTCCATAAAAATTTGGGCTTTCTGTCTTCTCCTGACTTCTACCAGGCATTGCCATGATTTTCCTTCTAGTTTACTCAGGGTTTTAACAAATGAAACAAATTATTCCAGAATTCTCTCAGCTGTTTTGCAGCCTCCTGGTGTGCAAGAAGGGGTTTGGTTCCTTCAGGGGAAGGGCTCTGTGTGCTTGGTACCCCTGCTTTGAGGAAACTGGTATGTTGTAGGTGATGCTGGAGATCCCCAAGTGTGTGTGGCACTACCTGTTTATTTCTAGTACTTCTGCTTTGACAGCATTAATGCTGCATTTCAGCAGGATCAACTCTGTATTTTGCGAGGTGGGAAAGAGCCCTGTTGCCCTGGGAAAGCCCACTTCATGCAGAAATTACAAGATTGCTGCAGTGCAACAACACCCCACATTGCTGAAAATGTTTTTTCTTAGGTAATTTCAAATAAATGGGATTATTTTTTAAACAAAAGGGCAACTCAACATGCTTTTAATGGTCGGAAAAGGAAATAATTGGATTTCCTTCCAAATGCAGAGGCTCGTTGTCCAGAGAGCAGCTCTGAGAAACAAAGATTACGTTTGCTTGTTTCAAGAGGCAAATGTTTAACTCCTGTGGGTTTTCTGATGCTAAAGCAACTGCACTTTGTTTTTCTGTCTTTTAGCAACTTCAGTCCCAGGCCCGTGCCCTGATCATGTTTGCTGGGATGATCCCCTACAGGACCTCAGGAGACACAAACGCCAGACTGGTGCAGATGGAGATCCTTATGAATTAGCAGAGCAGCTCTGGCTCGGGGCTGCAGCAGCCTGTGCCTGTCCTTAGTACGTTCAGAGGGCCCCTGGGGACCAGTGTCATTTTGTATTCTGTATTTTTGTTGATGGAAATAAATTTCTTTGGTTTTGATATTTGTTTTTGACATTTTCATTTTCACCGATTCTTGTGGTTTTATGGTTTTTTTTGTTAATTTTATTTTCAATTGGTTTTGCGTTTAGAAATTTATTCTTAATTAGTTAATGGGCTGTGCAGAGGGAGAAGTCATAGCTCTGCAGCAGTGGGGTGAATGAACAGGCACTTTTATAACAGAAGAGGAAGTGGAGAAGAAAACTTTGATTTAATGGTTAATAAACATACAGCTGGGAACCTTTAGGGGTTTTTTGGGGTTTTGAATGCATGTTAAGTGTTGAAAATGTGTCGCTGGTGCACCACCCACCCCGTGAGCTGCCATCAGTCCATCACCCTGTCCTGTGTGCTGCATGTGTTGCTGCAGTGCAGGGGAGCTCTGCAGGGGCTCCCTCGTCCTCAGCAAGGGTGAACTCCCGGGTCCATGTCCCAGATGTCTCAGCTCTGCACATCCTGGAGCTCTGCTGAAGCTTGGCAGGAGCACCTGGGTTGCAAACAGGTATATTTTGGTAGGAGAGGTTTTTGGGAGCAGCACATGAGTTTTCAGTCAGGTGCATTCCAAGTGGTCCCCTGGAGAGTTCACCTGGAGAAGAGAGGTCCAAGTGTGGGGGTGACATTACTGTTGGTTTAGTGGGAAACCAGAGTCCCACTGAAGCATGGAGCTTTAAAAATGGTTACCTTTAAATGTTTTAAGCTACAATTAAATAAGTGTGAAAGCCCAGGGAGCATGTTATAGTAGAAGCTTTTCTTTTTTAATATAGCTGCCTGTCTTTGGAATGAAATGTGAGGAATGTTGGTGGTTACTCTTGCTGCTCCCTGTGCATGTGCTGCTCCCTTGCTGCTGTCTCACCCTCCTGTGTTAGGGGATATAGAACATGTGCAGTTTGGGATGCAGAACAGGCAGCAAAATGCAGGGGCTGCTTTCAGCCTTTGTGTGTTAACAGCTGTCACGGGAGAGAATTCATCCTCATTTTGCAATGTCTAAGTTGACTGACCTGATGACAATTTCCTAATTACTTTTTCCACCAGAAATGTTGTAGCATAAATTTTGTCCACCTTTTGGACAGGAAGCAGCCCACGTCTCTCAGCATTAGCAACCCAGCTGCTGGGACCCCCAGCAGATAGAGGTAGGGATTGTGTCTGACACAGAGTGCTGCAGCATGGTCAGGATTGTTCCAACCTGAGGCTGAGAGAGACCTGGACAACCCCTGCGAGTCCAGGGGAGTTGGTGAGTTACCAAGGAGTCATTTGGGGCTGGGAGGTGGAACTGCCTGACACCCTGTCAACAGGTGAGTGTGGAAAGCTGTATTAGCTGTTAACATTTCTGGGATATTTGTGTGGGAATGCTTCTTGGCATGTCTCAATTGACAATTGATCCAGTCCCTGAGAGAACAGGCACCATCCCTGATGCTTGTGGGCATTCCTGGTGGGGTCAGGGCTGCCACACACACGGTCCTGCAGGATGACTCTGCTCCTGTGTTTTCCTGGCTGGTGTTCAGCCTCTGTCCCTGGGTCACTCCCAGCACCAAACCAGCTCATGTGCAGAGAGTCTGGCAAGTCTGTTCCTGTCCTCAGGCAACCACTGACCTGAGCAGGAGAGGGACAGCATCTGCTGGAGTCGGGAAGGGTGAAGGCCACCTTCCCTACTGGAATTCCCTGTCCCTGCTCTGCTGTTCCTGTGGGGACAGAGGTCCTTTGGGGCTCAGCTCTTAACATTACCATTTGCAGGACCTTGTTCTCCTGTCTCTTGCCCATCCCCTGCTGAGCAGAGTGGTTTTGCTGCCTCACTGGCATGTTCTGATGTCCAGTGTTGAACCTGGACACCTCCTGTAAGCAGCACGTTGCCCTTTCTCTGTCCCCCCTTCAAGGGCAGCTGTAGCAGCTTTCTGGTGCTTCTCAGCCCTCGTGGGTGTTGGTGAAAGGGAAAGCTGATGTCTGTGCCCAGTTTGCTCCCTCTGTGCCCAGTGATCATGACTCTAGCCTCTGGTCCCTTTTAAGCTAATCAGGTTCTGAATAATTTCATGCTTTCCAAACCCAAGGTGATCCTTCTGTGATGGACAGACAGAGGAAATAAACCCCAGGGAGTCTAAGTCCTGAGACTAACCCTGGAAAAGTAAGACTGGCCCTGTTTCAGTCAGGGTTGTGGGTATTACAGAAGAGGCCACAGATGTTTGGAATTAATTTATTGCTTGTTGATTGCCCTTTGATTTCTTCTTAGGTCTGTGCAGGTGGTGAACATTGCAGCCCATCCATCTTCCCACATTCCCAGTGGGGCAGGTTCCAGCTCCATGCCTAGGCCTGGCTCTGGCAAACCCAGCCCTCCTCTGCACGACATTAAGGGCTTTGCTGCTCTGAGGTAGATGCTGATGCACATTCTGGTGCTTTGCTGAATAAGGCACCCCGTGGTTTTCCAGATGTCTTTGTTTTCCCTCCACCTCCTGCTTATTCTGCTGGACAGAAAAACTGGGTTCTGCTCCCTCAGGTTTTGTACCATCACGCTTTGATTTTGCTAATGTACAATCTTAGCCTTGGTTTTCTAAATAGCTTATCTGCTGGAAGGGTTTTCTGGGGTGTCACTAAAGTCATACCTTGAGTCTGGTACAGCCTGTTCAAAGGTGGTGTCACTAAGCACTCCCCTTACAACAGAATAGTGCACAGTGTGCAGCAGAGCTGGGGATGTTCATCTGAGCCCAGTTCTGCTCTTTATACAAGAAGCAAGTACAGATGAATGCTGCAGATCAAATTTAGGCTGATTCCATCTGCTTTTTCCTACTCCAGGACTAATCCTCGGCATGAAAGGTCTTCCAGGTAGATGAGATGCATCTGAAGGGTGACTCACTGGTTTGAGTCAAATGCAGCTCAAGCTTGTGTTGCTGGAGGAGATGGGAAGAAAAAGCAAGAAGATGTTTGCTGTGAGAGCTGTGACACCCTGTGCTGGTGGGGGTGCAGCAGAGCCTCCAGGCCTGTGTTCCACAGATTTTGTGGCTCTTTGGTTCTGAAACATCCACGTGTGCTGTGGTATCAGCACAGCAGCTCCTGCAGCTTTACAGGCTGCACCTCCTTCCAGGAACAAGGGCTGAGTGATGTGGTCTGGATTTACAGGGGATGTGCTGTAAACTTCTGCCCTACTTACCTGTCGGTAGGGAAAAAATTTGTTAAAGCTCTACCCAGGGTTAACCTGGTAATAACTAGACTGAGCTAAGGCAAGACAACCCGTGTGACACTGCTGAAACATGCCTCGAGGGCCTCCTGAACACTGTCAGGGAGCTGGTGTCCATGGGTCCTGTCTTCTCACAGTTTCTGTGAGGCTGAGAATTCTTTTAAGTGTTTTATGTAAGCAGGGTACTGCTTACAGCCTGTGGGTTACATTCCTGCTTCTCTACCTTGCCTTGGATTTCCCCACTGAATGCAGATTCTGCATCTCAACATGATGTTTTGTTATGTTTTTCAGACCCTCTGGCTGGAGCAGACCTGCTAAATGAGGTGACTTCTCTGTTCTCCACTGCTATCACTGCTGTGTTTGTCTAAGACAGTGCTTGGACATTGTTGCTTTCAGGAGCTGAAGGAATTGTGTTCAGAAAAAGTGACCCCAGCCCCTCAAGGAAGGAAGCTGTTTTCCTTCCAGCCTGGAGGAAGGAAGGGGATATTGCTAATTGCAGCTCTGTGTCCCTGGCGTGGGACAGCACTCAAATACTGCCACTGTTCATGTCCCTGTGTCAGCATTTTTGTGCTTTCTCTCTGGGTCTGAAGTTGGAAGGATGGGAGTGGTGTCTGGAAGAGATGGGAGATGCACCCTTTGCTCCCATTGGGAAAGGCTGCTGGCAGTTGGCTGAATAACCATCTGTTTTCTCTTCCCAGGCTTCCTTTGCTGCAGTGCTGAGGAATTGGGTCCTGCTCTGCAGGTGGGTTTGCAGCACTGACCCCAGCACCGTCTGTGTCCTGTGTCACTCTGGTAGGTTCCCTCTGCCATGGGGATGGAAACAGGAAATTAAAACTTCATTAAAGCCTGCTGGAATATAGCACTTGGGCAATCTTTAAGAGAAGCTGTGTGTAAAGCATTGCACCATTCTCTGTTTAACTGGGCTTGGGTTCCTTTGATGCATTTAATAGCCAGAACGAACTGGGGGATCGACTGGAAGTGAGGGAAAGCCCTGCTGAAACAACTTGGAGCCTCTTCCCTGTGTGTGGAGGGGCTGGAGGGATGTGCCACAGAGCTCTGCTCCCCTGCCCACAGCTCCCAGCACTGCACAGCCCTGGTATTGTTGCTGCAGCTGGTGTTGTGAATCAGGCCGACGACAAGCGCATCCTACAATCCGGCTATTTCACTACACCAGGGTTGCATCATACCACTCTCTTCACTCTGCACCCGCCGTCCTGGAACCCTCCTGTCTCTTCTGGAGCATCCCTGACCCACTTCAGAGACTCTGATCTGTGCTGGTTTGGGCAAATTACTGTTCTTGATGAACTAACGAGGTTCTAAAATAAAGCAATTTCTCCCAGGTGTGAGTCTGCTGCCACGTCTGTTGTGAGAGGGAGCTGGTGTCCACTTTGTAGGAGGTGTTGCACGAGGTGCTGGAGTGACTTTTCCTCATCCAGCTCGCCCTTGTCCCTGCTGGCCAGGCTGGCTGCCCACAGGGCACTGGCACAGCTCTGCACTGGGTGCTGGAGCACCATGAGGGCTGAGCACAGGATGCAGGCCAGGCTGCCTGTCCTCAGCTTGCCGGGTAAGTGGGTGCACCCTGGCCCTTGGTGATTGTGGCTGGCATCTGCTCAGCACAAACAATGCAAGGGGGCTGGAGCAAGTCCTCAAAAAGCAGGTTAAAATTTGTGTGTGAATGCAAACACAGCCAGAGGCAGAAGGGGGGGGCAGGCCCAATTTTCCATTAACTTGCAAAGCCACACCAAGCTGAAATTCAAATGGGCTGCCCTCGAATTTTATTGCTGGCCTTGTTTGCTGTCTCTGCTGATCTTATCTGTAACTGCTTTTGAGGCACATGTGACAG